TTTTCCAGAAATTATTGCCATAACAGAACATTGGCTCAATATTGACAAGCCTGTGTTTGTCAAAAACTACACTACAGTATCTAGGTATACTAGAAGTATACTATCTCATGGAGGTACTGTAATAATGTCCACTAATAACAACTTTTCGGCGATAACCAAGTTCGACAATTTATTATCTGAAAAATTATTCGAATTTTCTATAGTCTACAACAATATCTACGACCTCTACATTGTTTGTATTTACAGAACACCTGACGCTGACTTGGTTACATTTTTTCAAAACTTACTAAGCTTGCTTGAGTCCTTCCCTCTTAAGAGTAAATTAATTTTATGTGGCGACTTTAACATAGATTTTTCCCGTGTGTGTGCTGCTCAAGATTCTCTCCAGTCTATACTTGACTCTTTTGGTATGGTCATGCATGTTCAATCTCCAACCCGAATAACTAAAACCAGATCTAGCAGTATCGACTACGTCGTGTCATCTTTTGATCCAAGCTTTGTTGACTGTACTGTCTTAAGTTCAGGGTTTTCAGATCATGAAGCAGTACTCACAAACTTTTCTCTAAAGAGCAATAGCAGAATTGCCCCACGTAAGTTTCGCCGAATTTATTCGGAAAAAAATTTCCTCAATTTCAAGCGCTCATGTCAAACAATTGACTGGGGTTGCCTCTCTGATGACATCAATAATGCATTTTCAACATTTTCAAATAAATTATCTGGTTTAGCTTTCAAAGCATTTCCCCTCAGGCCTATCAAAAATAAGCAACATAAACCCTGGACTACTAAAGGCTTGCGGACATCGGCAAAGAACATGCGCTCATTGTCACACCTAAAAAAATTTTCAGACAGTCTCTTCTTTCAAAATTACGTTAAACTCTATAGAAGAATTTATCATAAAACTATAAAAGCCGCCAAAGACAACTATTATAACAACCGGATCGCTAGAACTGAAAATATTTCCAAAGAAACGTGGTCTATTGTCAACGACTTGAGAAATAAGGCTATCTCTTCCAGTATAACCTCTACCTCCCCTGAGAACCTGAATAATTACTTTCTAAATGTGGCAAAAAATTTGATGACCACTATAGCTCCTTCTCGCGATCCGCTTTCATATCTTTCCAGTACCAATATGAATTTACACAGTTTCTTCCTAACACCCGTAGAAACACTAGAGCTTTTCAGCACAATTAAAGACATAAAAAACAAAGTCTCATCTGGGACTGATGGACTAACTTTAAAAATGTTCTTCAATTTACCGGAGTGTACATTAAATCTCCTCACTGCTTTAATAAATAAATCTTTTCAACAAGGAGTGTTCCCAGATTGCCTCAAGACGGCTATAATTATTCCTCTGCCCAAGGGAGGTGATAAGGACCAAGAGTCGAACTATCGTCCAATTGCACTTCTTCCTACTTTATCCAAAATCATTGAAAGATTGGTTAAGAAAAGGCTTCTATCATTTCTGCATAAATATAATATACTAACTATCCACCAATTTGGATTTTTAACCAAGAAATGCACTATTGATGCTATGTTCTCTGTCTTCAATAATGTATTCTCTAGCTTGAACAATTTGCACTCCACAGCATCAATTTTCTGTGATTTTTCTAAAGCATTCGACTGTGTAAGTCATAATATCCTAATTAACAAATTGCAGCATTATGAAATTCGAGGCTCTCCTCTGGAATGGTTCAAGTCGTATCTTAACAACAGAAAACAGCTTGTGGGGGTTGATACGACGATGTCTTCATGCAAGCCAATAGAATGTGGAGTTCCACAGGGTTCCGTGTTGGGTCCAATATTATTTTTGCTGTTTATCAACGATATTGCTAGTCTAGACATCAGCGGTAAAATCTGTCTTTTTGCTGATGATACTAGTTTCACTTGGAGCAACCCGGATATTGTAGCTCTTCATAGAACCATGTCCATCGACTTGTTGGCCATTAAAACATGGTGCGACTCTAACTTTCTCTGCTTCAACGCTGCGAAAACAAAAGTTCTATCATATAGAAGTACGATGCAACCTATTGTACTTAATAACACTACTACTATTGACGTCGTTGATTCCGTAAAGTTTTTGGGCCTTATTATAGACAAATCCCTAAAATGGAATTCTCACATCGATTCTTTATCAAAAAAATTAAGTTCCGCTTGCTTTGCGATAAGATCAGTTTCCCAGGAACTCAACTTGTCAACTTCTAGAACAGTCTACTTTGCCCTTTTCGAATCACATCTTCGATACGCCCTTCCATTCTGGGGTTCGTGCTGTGCGACTCAATTTGACCGTATTTTTAAATTACAAAAGAGAGCTATTAGATATTCCCAAAAATTAAAAAATAGAGCTCATTGCCAAGATTTTTTCAAAAAATATAAAATATTAACACTTCCTTCCCTTTTCATACTAGAATCAGTCTGCCTTATCCGTAAACACCTACCCAGTATTTCAGAAAGGCCATTGCATAACTATCCACTTAGAAACGCGGAGCATGATCTTTATCTGCCAACTCCATCCTCCGAGTTAATTAAGAGCTCCATTCTATACAATGCAAAAAAAATGCACAATCATCTGCCAGTAGTCATCAAGTCCATAGCATCTCTTCCTAAATTTCGCATGGCTCTAAAATCCTATTTATCAGAGAGAGCCTTATATAAAGTAAATGACTTTTTTCTGACTTAATTTTGAGCGTTCCACACACTGGGTCATAGTTTATAGGTAATTTGTTCATTTTTATTTTTGTTCATGTTATTTGTTTATGTTTATATCATTTTTTTTTGACTTTGTATACATGTAGATGTATATAATATATATTTTTAACTTTAAGGCTTTGTCTACAAATTATGTTATAATTTTTTTGACAATAAAGCATTATTATATATCCTATCAGCTGAAGCACCCAGAATTAAGGAAGTCACCATAGATCTATGCAGGTTACAGTGTAACAATAACCCTAATTCATTCATTCATTCATTCATTCATTCATTCATTCATTCATTCATTCATTCATTCATTCATTCATTCATTCATTCATTCATTCATTCATTCATTCATTCATTCATTCATTCATTCATTCATTCATTCATTCATTCATTCATTCATTCATTCATTCATTCATTCATTCATTCATTCATTCATTCATTCATTCATTCATTCATTCATTCATTCATTCATTCATTCATTCATTCATTCATTCATTCATTCATTCATTCATTCATTCATTCATTCATTCATTCATTCATTCATTCATTCATTCATTCATTCATTCATTCATTCATTCATTCATTCATTCATTCATTTATTCATTCATTCAAAATTGTGAATTATTCGAACGTATTTACAATTAACAAGTCATCACCGGGGAATGCTTCATCATCGCAGAGATCTCCTGTTGCAGTCAAGCAATGAAAAAAATATCTAGTGAAGATTACTACAAATAAAACGCTGATAGTCATTTCTATAATAAGCATGCCGGAAACGGGTTGTGTGAGGCTGGGTCATTTCCTCACGTGGAACACCCAGAACTCCAACCACTCCATTTGTTTACATAGAACTCCAAAAACAGTCGACTCAAAATCTAGTTTCATTTGCATAAAATATATAAGATCTGCGAAGGTCATGCCTTTGCACATCGCCACGCCAACGCCGCTTACTGGTTTACTCTCTGTCACTTGTCTTGTAGATTTATTATAAGGATGCTGAAGACAACGTAGATGGTATTCGAGTTCCTGAAAGAGAATATCGCCGGCACTTAGAGTTACTAAAAATTTGGAATCTTGTAATATTTGGGTACAATTCCGGACTTTTTGTATAACTTTATCACCACATGCATTATGAAGGGGCGCTTTCCATTTTCCTTTTTCCAAGCAAAGAAAACATTTGATGGATTTCGGTGCTGCGAGTGACACTGACGATCGAGTGACATGAGTTGTTCTATTCTCACTAGTAGAATTTTACCTATTATTAGCATTTGGGAGTGGCCTCTGCCAGGACTTTTTCAGTCGAGACAATTTTTCTCCGCTGTGTACTGAGATCTACAGTTCTGGCGATATTTTGCAGTGTTTCCAGAGTCTGTGAGATACCAGTACCACCATCAAGATTGTCTACTCACCTATTTCATTCTAGATGGTAAAGCATGTTCTAATGCCCTCAGGTCCTGCAGAGTTCCAGATATTGACCTGAACCTCTCTGTTCGGGGTTTGAGTTGCTAGCTGAACACATAAGTCCCACTCTATCTTTTGACTGACAGGCAGCATAATGACCAATCTAAATCATGCACTGCAGCTGGTAAACAAGCAATGCAATAGCTTTTCGTCCCTTCGGCATTGTCTGTTACTCGCCAAATCTAACTAAAATTGAAGGACATTGAATTTCTATTTGTAAGTCAAACTCAACAATAACTAAGGGAATGCAAGGTTAGAGCAACCCTTACGAGAAAAGACCAGTACGCCGCAAAACCACACTGCGATTGTATTCATGATAAAGATTAATACGTCGTTCTCACCTTCTTCAAATAAATACGCAATTTCACCGCACAATAAACACGTAATAAACTGTCGCCATGCACACTTTGCTTTTGTCCCGATTGAAGTTCAGAAGTAATGTTGAAATATCGTGAAATATATACTCTAAAAAACTCTAGAAACGCCATCTTAACTATAAAAATAGGTGAAAACTTCCGAATCTTGTCGCACGGTAAAGATATCATAAAATCGGCCTAGATATGAGAAATTAAGCATGCTCCTCACACATAAATTGATTTTGGATATTATTCTTTCCATTTTCACCCTCGTAAACTTTGAAGACGACACCCCAACACGTAAAAATCGTGAATCGCACTCTAACAAAAATTGTCTAGAATTCGACTCAATTTTAAAAATTGACGCCATTTTCAATCCTAAGGGACGGAACTTCCGGCTCTGCGACTCAAATCACTCCAATAGGTCTAGGGAACGTACGAAGTGGCACAATTTTAATATGGAATGCCGAATAATACCAGCATTTCTCACGAGCCGCTCCCACTATTTCTTCGTTGACAGTTTCTGCTGAGCTTGATGAATGATATGCGAACAAAACGTTGAGGAAGCATAAAATCATGCTCGTGCTGTGATATAAATACCACCAAAACTTGAATCAGTGTCTGCACCAGTAAAAGCATGGAGGAAGGGAAGCAGGTTTGATAGCCCGGGTACATGCTTTTCACTTTTGATGCATTTAATGATTGAAGATGTGTTCCTGTTCCATATTCAATCCACAATTCCTCTACTTCATCTAACATAGAAAAGGCATACATCGCAATGACAACTACATCGCTTTCAACTGTTTTAATGTTAATTTTGGTATGTCCTTCAAAGATGCTAGCATGCCACACGTGAAGTAGAAGACGAGCATCGGCTTCTTCATGAAAAGTTGGAGATATATGGTCGTAGACTTTCTTATTATTAGATATAATCACTCGGTTCTCATAGGTGCAAACTATTTGTTTTCCAATGGGTACATCCATCTTTATCATGCTTTCTGCCTGTGTGTTAAAATTTTTTGGTACCTACAACTACTTGCCTCTCTTGTAGGTACCCATTTTCAGGCTGCCTGGTACATAGGTACTGATCGAATAAAATATCTACCCTGTTTACCTTCACAAGTCTAGTCCGAATCGAATATAGGATTCAACAATGATGTCGATATACTGTCGGAAGGTGTGGTGGTGTGGTATCAACATATGAATAAGAGCAGCCCTGTCAATAACAAGGTGAATTTACTATGGGCATCTCGACAAAATGTTCATCAATTTTAGTCGATCGGATAATGCAGGAAACAATCGGGTCTATTCTGTAACTCAAATCGAATGGACAAGCGAAAACTTGAATCGATAACAGTCGCAATTATCGATTTTTGAAAAAAAATTGGTATTCCGTAAATTTTTCAGCTATCGACAATAGATAACAAAAATCGAAATGGATTTCGATTGTCGATGGCTGCTCTCGATCGCATTAGAGCAATCGACAAGGTGAAGTATGGATCTTATAAACAGAGAAAATGAGGTGAGAAAAAAAAGGGGTACTTAATCCATATAACCGTATAATCAAACGAGATATTCATTGCAGAGGTTACAAAAGCAGGAGCTGGCTGGGAAATTACCCTGGGGTTACTAAGTTAGATCTTCTAAATTTTGCCTGTCATAGACTTTAAAAGAGAAATTTCAAGTGCTTGTTTTATATCTGCTATAAGGTGTGTGACGTTACCAAATTTACGTTTTTCCCAAGTCGAAAGTTGAAAAAATTTCTTCTATGATTACAAGGCTAGACTACCAGAATGGAAGATCAAATAAATCAGATGTTGCATTGGAAATTTTTGCACGGGAAAGGTTAAAGAAGCGAATCAAAGGAAAACAAGAACATAACCGGCTTCAGAAAATTCTAATAGAAAAATGTGGACAGAAAGGAAATATGAAGGAAGAAAAACTAAGACAGTCAATGACTTCTTCTATCTGGTCAGCTTGCCTTGGCGGTACTTCTTCTGAAATTTTCAGGATACCTTCTTTAGGTGGTCGACAATGTTTCCTTAAAAATCGCATTAAATCGCATGGGCCGTACTCTCCCAATCGAACTTTAAACTCAAAACATTGTGTTTTTCTTTATTTCTTTGGAAATATCTTAAAAACTATAAACTTTTTTGAAAATCTACAAGAGAACAAAATTGTTGCCATTTTTTGGTTTTGGAAATCGGCCTAAAAACAAAGAACTTATGGGCCTTTAAATAATGGGCCAATACGGCTTGAGCTCCAATTATATCTAAAAATTGAACGATTTTGTAAAAAAAACACATGATACATACCTGTTCATCAGGACATAGCGCTACAATAGCGATCATCAGCATTGTTGCCAAATTATTATAATTGTAGCAAATTTTATCCCTGTTCTTCTCACCAAAAGGAAAAAAAGATGGAAAATGGTCCGAGCGCTCAGTGTTTCAAGCGGAACTCATTAATTTTAATAATTTTTGGTTAAATAAGTGAAAATATAATAGATTTATTGGAAATGTAATAATTTAAATAATTAACCTTTGATAAATTTCATAGATTTGCTACATTTGTAATAAACCGGCAACACTCTTGATGAACGCTACTGTAGCGCTACGTCCTGATGAACCCGACCAATTGTCACAACAAAGTAAACAAAAAACCCAGTGGCAACACTGGCACCCTGCGAAACTCCTCCGTCTCCTCCACACTCCACCTGATTTTACTGAACAGCGCCCGCGGTAGGAGCAAAAATTATATTGCTTTTGTATTTTGTTTTATAACTGCAACAGTTTGTTTTATTGCGATTATTGTGTGGTGTTAGAGTATTAAATCAACAATAGGTAAAATATTTATTAAATCAAATATATTATACAGGGTGCTTGGCGGAGAGTTAGCCAAACTTGGTGGGCGTATAGATAGGCCCATTTCGAAGATATTTTATTAATACACTTGTGTCCTTAGCGTCCCCGTTTTTTTTTATATCATTGCTTTTGTATTATTCTTAAGAATTTTCAAAAATGGACCTTTTAACCTCTGTAACTTGTTTTTAAATGTTTATAAAAATGTTTGTTTCGTGTATTTTGGTCTGCAGGGTATCCTTGATCTAATAAAGTAATAGAGCTTACACTGATTATTTCAGTAGTATTTGTGTCCAATTATTACCTACTTTATTAGATCAAGGATACACTACATACCAAAAACATACGAAACAGACATTTCCATAAACATTAAAACTTATCTTGAGGGCACAAGTGTATTAATAAAATATCTTCGAAATGGGCCTATCTATACGCCTACCAAGTTTGGCTAACCCTCTGCCAAACACCCTGTATAATATTGTATTATTGTTTTGTTATTTTTTAGATATGGCTGACTTATGCCTAATATGCAATCTTCCGTTAGGGTCAGCGTCAGTTGTAACTTTAATATCAAAAGGTATCAAAAATTTAGTAGAATGCAGTGAGATATACAAAGATAATTTATATGCAAAAGTACTAGATATTCACTCACTACTAAAATTGCATATATCATGTAGAAAAAGTTACACTCATAAGAGAAATGTATGTTCGGCACAAAAAAAAACAGAAATACAAGATGTTTCAGAGCGAAGACCCACTAGAAGCAAAACCGTCTGTGAGTTTAATTTTCTCAAAAACTGTTTGTTTTGTGGTAAAATTTGTGTGAATACGAGTAAATTTAAGAGAAGTATACGCACTGTTGCCACTCTAGAAATAAAAACAAATATTGAATCCCGTTATAGTGCCAGGAAGGACGAATGGTCTAATGCTGTTCATATACAAGAATTGCCACAATAAATGATTTAGTAGCTGCAGAAGCCCGGAACCATAAAAACTGCTATACCACTTTTTTTCGAGATTCTTCAGGAAAAAGCGCCGGTCGATCTGTAGACGAGTTAAGCAAAAAAGCATTTGAAAACCTTTATAATTTTATAGAAACCTCTGAAAATTGTCAGTTTTCATTAAAGGAGTTAGAAGACAAATTGCTGGAACTTTCTGGAAACGAAATAGTAGTAACCCAATGGTCTAGGCGATATTTAAGCAAGAAGTTAAAAGAACACTATGGTGAACAAGTCGTAACAGAAATTCCAGGAAAGATTGCAGTTTTAAGTTTTAAGGGAGGCAGCTATCAAATTTTATCAGATAATTGGTACGAAAATAGAAAAGCTGATTTAAGAACTAATCGTCTTAGAGTAGTTGAGGCAGCAGCTAAAATTATTCGTGAGGACATAAGGGGTACGGTTTACGATGTTGAAAAGTATTCCAGTACAGGAACCATTCTTACAGGAGGGATATCACCAGAGACTTTGTCCGTATTTTTAAACAATCTTTTTTGTAAAACCAAAGACATATTTGCCAAAAGCAGTTTAATAGAATCGAAGCCCAATCCGCCCAATTTTTATAAGCCCATAACTTTTTTGTTTTTAGACCGATTTTCAAAAACAAAAAATTATTTTGTTGGTATTTTTATTGGCAACAATTTTGTTCTCTTGTAGATTTTCAAAAAAGTTTATAGTATTTGAGATATTTCCAAAGAAATAAAAAAAAAAACTCAATTTTTGGGTTTAAAGCCCGATTGGGCGAGTACGGCCCAAGCGATTTAGTGCGATTTTTAAGGAAACATTGTCGACCACCTAAAGAAGGTTTCCTGAAAATTTCAGCTTGTCCCAAATTTGTTCCGGGTTGGACCCCTAGTTTTATTGGCCTAAATAGGAAATTTGTCAGTCAAAATCAATAACGTTCATCTCGATTTCACCGTTCTCGATTGTCTATTGAAGGGGGTGTGATCCCAAAAAACGACTTAAGCTACTTAAATCATTTTTTTTTTTAAGATCTCTCGTGAGAACCGCAGTCCTATATTCAAAATACAGTTCAGAAATTTAAACAAACCCTTAATGAAAGGGTTGTTCAAATTTCAGCACCCTGTATTTTGGAAACGACGCATTTCCGACCATCGGTGTCCTATCTCAAATAACTTCTCTATGGTTCCTCTATATACCCTAGCATTTTTGACCAGTTGAACGGGGACACCCTGTTTTGAATACGCGCTCCCGCTTTATCACGCTATATTTCAAAAACGGTTGGTCGTACAAAAAATGTATCGGAAAAATTCTAGTGACCTTTGACCTTCGATATCTCAAGACGCACAAAGGTAGGCATATGCGATTTTTTTGTGCTTCATTAGAACCTTAAAACGAAGGTCTCTGCAAAAATTCAGCTTGTTCGGCCTCATTCCGCAGAGTAAGTCTAATTTCCCTGGGGTAATATGTGGTTGGCCATTTTTCGGCATATAACGAGTTGCTAGGAACCCTCGCAAAAATTTTTGATTTGCATTATAGATTTATTTTTTAATAATATTGTAATTTTTGAAAATGGGATTCAATATTAAGCAATTAAGGGCACTGGCCTTTTTGGGTACATAGCCTTATTTGGTCAGGTACCTTATAAAATCTACTTGAGAAATGCATTCCTTCAAAAAATAATTTTTTTCCACGAGATATACAACAGGGCTTTCGAATACCAAAAACCTCATTAAAAAAAAACTAATCTAAAAAAAGTTAATATTATAAATTGAATATAGTGCTAAAAATTGCTTGTCCCGTTTTTTTCTTTTGGCGAGCAGTTTAAATGGCGCGAGTTTCGGGAAACAAAATTAACAATTTCTCCAAATACTTATTGTGGAAAGTATTTATAAGTTTTAATGCGATAGTTTGAATGTAAATATGTCATAAACTAAACTCTTAATCCGTTTTACGACAAAATCGTGTACTCCGAACGGCCTCTATAAATATTGGCGTAGGTGGCCACGAGGCCACGTGTACTGCATTTGAGCTGCAATTTCAATCCTATGCCAATACTCGAGTAAAGTTCTTTTTGTCGTGTCCTCAAAAATAACTTTATGACCGATAAAAAAAACAATCAACGCATACATCGACGAATCACAGTCGATTGAAAACTTGAGTA